GGGTTTCCGAGGCGGTATCTCTACGGAAGCAGATTGCTCAACCTTCCTTCCGAGGAGTGGCTGGTGGGTTTGAACCGCCAGGCTTCTGGTTAGTAATCAAGCGCCTTAGGCACTACACTACCAGAGCTCCTTGGAGCCTCCCTTAGGTGCTGGGAATTTCCGGGAAGGCTTTGGCAGATGTTCCCCGTCGCCACCAGGCCCCTGCTCTCCTCTCCCCCATCGGCCCTCTCCAGACCTCACCTCCTCCGCTGAGTGCCTGGTGCCCGCCTGGGCCTGCATCCCCCGAAGGAGTCTGCTTAGGCCAAGGGTCAGGGCCTGAGGGCCTTGGAGTGAGGCCAGGAGGAGGTCGGCATGGGAGCCCCAGCGCCCAGCCTGGATGTCCTCACAAGTTCCCTGGGGGTCGCTGAGGTAGAGGGCAGCGGCCGCGCTGAGGCGGGGGATGTCCCTGGCGCGCAGGATGGGCTCCGGGTGCAGCTCTGGCCTCTGAGGCCGGCCCAGGGCCAGAGCATCCTCCACGGACAGGCACTGGGGGCAGAGAGGCAGGTGGGCAGGGCCTGGGGCCGCAGAGGACACCCCTTCCCCACCTCCCTGGGATGGCAGGAGGGGACCTTGGCCATGGGCCCACCCATCCCAAGTGGCTTCCTCCTGAGACCACAGCCAACATGATAACAAGGGGGTGGGTAGGGGGACCTTGGACTCCGGGGAGAGCTGTGGGGACCCCAGCCACCTGCCCACCCACCCTCAGCCTGCCCCCTCCAGGTCAAGCGTGGCACTGGCCATCCAATGCCATCCTTTGGAGTTTGCCCAGGGCCCTTTGCGGTCGCCGGGTGAGGCGGGTGGGGGAGGGTCAGGGCCCATTAGGCTGTTACCTTTCCACACGGCCCCGAGGTGCAGTGCACACGGGCCGCTAGCGTATTTAACAGGCCGCCCAGTGCCTCGCGGTCCAGAGTTCCGTGACCCGACGTGAGCCCGGCCAGCAGGCGGGCGGGTGCGGCCGCTGTTGCTGCCACCAGCAGTACGGCCAGGAGCAATGAACCAAGCCAGGACAGGTAAGCCATGTGGCGGACTCCAGACCCTCAGTGCTGTGGGGAGAGGTTAGTGTCAGACGGCTGAGACCACAGGGCTGCTGGGACCAGACTGTGGCTGGGCTGGGACCCGCCCCAGGCACAAGACCTCTCCCAGGTATTTTCTGTGGGACGCTGTGATTGGCTGCCAGCGGGGCCGCAGATTAACCGTTCCAGTGACGGATCCTCCCAGTTAGTGAGGCCTGGGCCTCTGAGGGGCCAGGGCCCCTCTCCACTCTTCCAGGGGCCTGGGGTGTTCCCTGGTGTAACCCACTTTCTGGGGCTTCCCTGAGCTGGAGGTCTGGGGAGAGAGGTGATGGTGCCATTGTAGTCAGTAGGCTGGCGCCACAGGCCGGCCCCACCCGGGACATTCCTAGCCCCAGAGCCCACTTTCTGGCCAGCCCTGCTCCTCCTGTCTCTCCCAGCAGACCTTCCCGGCCCAGTTACTCAGACCTTCTTAGAGTCTTTGGGCCCAGTTGGGGGTCAGAGGTGGGGAGATTTCTTGAGCAGGAGTGGAGAGAACAGATAAGCTCCTGCAGAAGCCTAAGCCCTCCAGGGTAAATTCCCCAGGAAATGCAAAAACAGGAAGGAATGAGCTGCCCGACCTCCACCTGTGGGCAGGGCTGCTGGCTTCTGGGACCTGTAGGGGAGGGCTGGGCCCAGCACTGCCCCTCCCTGCCTGATCACTCCTTTGTACCCCGTGGCCTTTGTACCCCGTGGCTGGCCTTATCTCTGGCACCCTGATTCTGCTGAGTCGGGCTGGGGGAGGGGTGGCCCCCAGGTAGCCGACCCCCGCAGATGGCTGTAACCTCATGGGTGCCGCAGGTCTCAGGATGCCTCCTGATGTCCCTATCAAGGGACGGTGGATGACACCACACGGTTGCCCTCTGCCATGTCCACCCAGCCAGACCCTAACCCCAAGCCTCGAGGTGAGGCTGCAGGAGTCTGTTGGCCCTGTGCCGCCGAAGGCAAGGCAGGGCGGGACAGCAGCTCCAAGGAGCTCTGGCTCCTGTCTGGCCAACAGGCTCTGGGGCTTCTCTGAGAGACACGCGTGTTCACCCGTGCTTGCACTCACACACGTGCACACGCAGTGACCCTTCTGGCACTGTTCCTTCAGGGGACATGGGCATTGTGACATCCAAGGATCATAAAGGGAGCTGGGAGGGGATTTGGGGAGTGGTGGCGAGACTCCTGACTGCCAGGGTTCAGAGGGTGCCTGGACTGGGTGCTGGTCACTGTGGTAGAAGAGGAACACGGGCAGCTCCACGGGCTGGACCATGCGGGCCTCTGTTGCCTCTGGCCGCCCCCTGCTCACGGGCTCGGCACACAGGCCCTGACCTTCCTGGGGTGATCCTCGAAGGCCTCCCATGGCCCCTCAGTTCATTCTCCCATTCCACTCCCCCCAGCATACTGCCTTTGTCACCAGCCCCTCGCCATCTGCCTCCTCTGGGCCTTGGACCCCGTCCTGCATCCCTGCGCCTCTGTACGCTATCCCATTGATGCCCAGAGTTTCCTTAAAAAATGCAGGGGTTCTCTCCCTCAGATTAGAGGAGGAGGATGTAGCTTCTAAGATAGGTTGCTGACCCTGGAACTGTGTGAACCTAGGTGAAAGTGGGCATTAGCGTATTGAAAATCACACCCCTAGGAGATTTAACAAAATAAGATATGCTAAGAACCACCATCTTCGTATTCCTTAGTTCCAACGCCTTATCGGTAATCATAGAACATTGTACATATAACATGATTATGATGTAATCCCTACCCTATAAAAGAAACCTAGAGGCAGGGAATCTGAGGCCTCCCTGTCTCAGCTCCTGCACATAATAAAAGCCGTGACTCCTGTTCTTTACCTCGGTGTCTTTATTGGCTTGTCACTCTGGACCCACCCTGGGCTGTTGTCACCATCATGCACCCCCCAAAACACTCAACCTCCAGGTTCCTGCCCCATTTCCTGCCTGACCACCGGCCCCCTTTCTCACCAGCCAGCCCCACTGGGGCTTTTCCTATCTTATTTTGTGCTTCCTCTAGGGATTCCTGCCCCACCCCCACCCTGCTGACAAGACTTCTCTGCTGGGTCCTTCCATCTCCCATCCCTGGAGAGGAGCCAGGCAGGTCCTTGCGACTTGTGGACAGCCTGGCAGCTGGGGGATGGCATCCACTGTGAGCAGGGACACCACCCTGTCTCAAATAATCTCTAGAACCAGCCTCATGTCTAAGCATCGGCAGACAAGTGCCTTTACCCTAGCCCAAAGGTGTCCACCTCTCCCCTAGCTTCCTGACTCATCTGGGTACAAGGCCAAGAGTCCACCCTGACTCCTCCTGTTTGGCTGCCTCACCTGCCACCTCTGGACAGGTCAACCCAGTCCCATTGTCCAGATGCTTGAGTCCAGGATGTCAGAGAAAGCAAATCACTGAACGTGAAAGTGCACCTCAGAGCCGAGGTGCATGGGAGTGACCTGCTGAGTCTCTCCCCAGGGTAGGGTGACGTTGGCACTCACACAGCGCTAGTGCTTGAGAACAGGCAGTGGACACCAAGCTTCTGGGCCCCACTTGGGATGGGCAGGAGGGTAGACTGAGTCCCCTTGCCTAGTGGTCCCCTGGCTCTGGGTAAACCATGGTTTAAGGAGGGGCTGCCGTGGAAGGCCTGAAGACGCCGGGCAGTTTGGCCCACCCCTGCAGAGCTGGGCCATAGGCATGTAGGGGCCCAACAGCTGGGCCACACCTCCAGCTGATTCTTTCCGACTCTGTGTTCCCTGGCAGTAGGCTATTCCCTGCCCTGGGCTCAATGAGCCCTCAGGTGGGAGTGAGGTGGGGGTGAGGCAGCCAGCCTTCTCTGCTGGATTCAAGGCAGGTACACCTAGCCCAGGTGCTGTGGAACCCTTTCACAAACATGGAGGCTACCCCTCAGCCAGGCCTGCTGCCCCCGGTGCCTGGGCCCTCCCTGATGAAATAGACAATGAAAGAAGCCTGGATTCCATCACCTATTTGGAAGGCAGTGAAGAACCTCAGTCCTTGCAACTCTTTCTCCAGGACAGGGGTGGGGACCCAGGAAGCCTGGCCCAGAGGACGAAAGAACACACAGGGCTGGCTGATGGAAGACCCCACAGCATGAGGAACAACATCTTTATTGTAAGGAGGGTGGGCGGGGACTCATGACTGAGGACACACCTCAAATCCTGATGCCATGGACAACAAAACACATGGAGACTGGCCAGGGGACTAGGAGCCTCCACTGAGAAGGCCACACTCAGGCAGGGGTGGGGCGGGCGTAGGCTCAGGCATGCAGGAAACGGTTGAAGGCATTGTAGGCAGACTCCAGGTCAAAGAGCATCTGCCGCACCTGGGAGTCATCCAGCTCGTCTGAGGCCGACATGCCACTCAGTGTCTGCAGCCTGGGGGCATTACAATGGGAGGGGGGTGTATGTGGGGGCAGGGTACAGATTGGGGGGCAGGGGTGGGCTCATAGGACTAACCCAGACACTCACCACTGGCTAACTGTCTGGCGACCCTCAAAGTCAGGGGGCAGGTGACTCATTCGGTGCATGGTCTCCATCAATTCCCGCAAGTCGGGTTGGATCTATGGACATCACAGCCTCACTGAGAACTTGCCTCCGGGCACCCACCTCCCAGGAAGCAGGAGGCCCTGCAAGCCCCATCCAGCAGAATCACCTCATCCATAGCTCGGATCTCTAGGCGAAGCTTGTCCATAACTGTGATGAAGAGCTGAGGGAGAGGTGTGAATTAGACCAGCATGTCCCTTCCCCTCTTCCCGGCCTGACCTCTGTGGCAGGTGGGGTCACCTCTGAAGCCTGTTCTCCCAGCCCCTCCTCAGCCTCAGCTCCTGTCTTCAGGGTGTGGGCCCTCCTCCCCACACCCTGGTCTCGCTGCCTTTCAGCATCTTGGTACAGGGGCTCCCCCGGCCCCACACCTCCCGAGGGCACCTGGGGCACTGGAGCCCCTGCCCGGGATGACCCTGCAGGTATGTGGCCCCATACACGTGCTTTCATCCAAGCATCCCAGCCACAAGGACTCTCAAGGCCCCAGAGGGGAGCTTGGAAGGAGGGAGGTCGATTCCCTGCTTGTTCCAACAGAATGCCCACCAGAAACGGCTCCTCTCCATCACAAGCTGCCCGAGGTCTGGGGGAGCTGCCTGGAGATCCTGCCGAGGGCGACGGCCTGCCCACCCCTTACCCCTTGCTCCAATGAGTCAGTCTCGACCCTCTCAGGACGCACACCCCGCCCCTCACGGGCCCTGGCCCACCGAGACGACGTCGGCAATGCAGCGGTTCAGATTGCCCTTGTCATCTTTAATGGTGATTGGCCGGTCCTCCTTGATCCTCTCCATGGCCAGCGGGCAGTCCAGCTGCAGGGAGAGTAGAGTGCGTGCCTGCCCTCATGGGAATGGTGCCCTGAGCAAGTGAGGCCTATCCCAAAAGCACCCCTAACCCCATGCAAGGGGGCAGAGGGCTGAGAACTCACACGGAACTTGCGGCAGAACTCATCGATGGAGCTGATCTCAGAGCCCTGGACCTGCCGGAAGGCGGCTTTGTACTGGACCAGAAGTCGGGAGCAAGCAGCCGTGTACCTGGGAGGCCAGGGCTGCATCAGCACATGCCCAGCCATGCCACAAATCCTGCGGCTCCCCTGGGCTGTCCAGATAGATGGAAGACTCTCCTGGGAAGAGAGGGGCCTGGGCCGCAGGTCGGAAATGGGTGTGGAGCCCTCACCCAGCCCACAGAGAGATGAGGGGTCTGACACAGCTCTTGAAAAGGCTCTTGGTGTGTGTGGGGGGGGACACACATGCCACAAACCACAAACCCAGGCTGGCCACGTGGCCCGGCCCTTCACTCCGACTGCCATCTACCTCTGGGCCTGGACCTTGTTGACAGCTCACAAGAAGAATCTGTCCAACCCACCTCCACAATGGAAAGGCTCCATCCATCAGGCCTCCGGGCGGCTACCTGAGACCTTCCCACAGATGAGAAACACCCCCTGCCCACCCAGCCCCCAGAAGCACAGTGGGAAGCACAACCCTCCCCTGGGGTCTCTCAGTACAGCCACAAGCCTGACAACAGGGGCAAGGTGAGCTCAGACCCTTGGGTTCCTGCTCTTGCTCCCACCAGCCACTCAGGCCCCAAAGGGCAGAAACAGTCCTCCAAGGATAGGCACAGGGTGACAGGGTGCTGGCCACAGACCACAGACTCACTCATTGGGGGTGACACAGTCCTTGATGTATGCCTTCTCCAAGGCCTGCATTGTCTTTACCACCGCAAAGAGCTCGGCCATGTTGTCGTACCTGGGGGCATGCAGCCCATCAGACCCCACTGAGGGGGACATGGGGCAGACAGTGTGCTCTGCCCACCCTGTGAGGAAGGGTTCCCTGGCCTGACCACCATCGTCCTGACCATCAGGGTGGGGGCAAGCAGAGGAGATGCTCCAAGGAGGTGGCATGGGCATGGGGGCCTGGACTCACTTCTCACGTTCCCGGGCATTCTTGTATAGCTTTACTTCCTGTTGGAGAGAGTGGGGGTACATCAACCCAGCACCGTGAAAATGGCTTGGGGCTCTGCAGGGGTGTGGTCACATGGTAAGTGCTGTGGTATTACACTCACCTCATACAGCTCAGGCTTGTTCCCAGAAGCTGCAACAGAGCAGGCAGAGCTGGCAGTTGGCCACAGAGGACTGGCAGACATGCTCCCCCCACCCCACCCACTTCAGCTCCCTTCCTGGGTGCCACCCCCCGTGCTGTGCCCTAAAGATGTGTAGGGAGCTGGAAGACAGAAGTTTGAGTCTCAGCCCCTGCCTTGCTGTGAATATGCCCCTTCCAGCCACAGTCTTTGTAACTCCCACCAAATGACTGGGTGGGATTATGCAAATAGGGTGCTTGTGGTTCACCAAGGAAATTGGACAGCACAATAAGTAAATAAGGTACGTGGCACCCTTGAGGGGAGCACCCGTGTGAATAAAGTATATAGAATCCTAACGAGGGATTGGTATGTCCTGCCACCCCGCTAGGCTTAAAAGAGCCAACCAGAGATGGGAAGGCAGGAATCTCACTGCCATCAAGAAAGAAGAGCCAAGAATGGAAAGTGGCAGAACTAGGAGACTGGCAGGTGAAAGTGCATAGGCTTTGTCACTCAGAGAGAAAGCTGAGCACCTTTGGGCAGGTGGCTTACTGGCAGAGTGGAGGGCCTGTGGGCAGTTATCAGCCGAGCTAAAGGGCAGAGCCCAGGCTGAGGGCCAGAGAGAGGCCTAAGAAGCTGTCTTGATGGGACACTGTATCCTGAGCACACCTGGACCTGTCACTTCCTGATAAACCCGTGAGTAGAGTCTGTGAGTTCTGTGTTGCCACTGCCAGGTTACAAACCCAGCAGAGCAGCAGTGAGTGCCATGGAAGATGCCTGCTGACCTCTGCTTCACAGGAACCAGCCTTGGGCCATGCTGATTCTTTCTCCCCATGTAAGGTCAGAAGTCAGCTGCCTCCACTCTTATAGCCCCCCACCAGCTTACAGGAAGACCAGCCCAGGGGTGCTGGCTAGGGGCTGGAGACCACATCCAGGACCAGCTCCCCATTCTGTCGCTGCTCCTTGGCCCCCTTGTCGGCATGATGGGGTGACAGCACCTGGTGTATGGTGCCGCGATGCGGCATGAGCAAGATTCATGCTCTCTGTGAGGTTTAGGCCTAAGCCACCCCCAGCTCCGTGACCAGGATGCCTGAGGCTCCAGCTGAACTAAAGGGCGATAATCTCTGTGCCCCGCAGCCCTGGCCACCCTGATGCCATATGAAACCTTGGGCTTATCCTCCGCAGTTCCTCAGCCCCTGCCAGCCCTGCAGCTGGGACAGCCCTGGCCACACTCACCTCCTAGGCCTGGAGTGGCTGGGATCCCGTGGAACATACTGGAAGCTCAAGAGATGCAGCAGAGAGATCTGGGGAGTGAGCTGCCACTGACTCGGCGTGAATCTGAGTGGGAGACACCAAACCCCCCAGGGGGCTGCCAGGTGGAAACAAGGCCAAAGCCAAGGCTTGGGGAAGGGCAGGGGGCTGGGTGGATGCTCAGTACGGTTCATACAGAGCAAAATCTTTAGGGGGGCAAAGCCCGTAGAAAAAGAAACGGGGGTCCCAGGAGGGCCCTCCTAGTTGAGGATGCAGTGGCTGGGGAGAGAGGGCAGAAGAGGCAGTTCCACTTTGGCTCTGGAGACACCCACCAGCACCCACTGAAGGATGTGAAATAGGGGTGAACACCAGGAGCGAGTCAAGACTGACACCCCTGCTTTCGGCCCAGGGGTACCATGACGGCAAGGTGATCCAAGTGGGAGTGGACAGAGGAGGAACAGGTCTGGGCACCGGCAGGTGGATGCCAGGCACATCCTGCTTGGGGTGTGTTTGGTTTGAGGCAGCCGGAGCTTAGGGAGAAGCCCAGACTGCCGCCATCAAGGGAGACCTGTCACCATGAAGACATCGCTTAGCATGAAGGAAGTGCATGAAGCCACACAAACAAACAAACCCCAGACTGACTGCTGTCAAGTTGCCCCCGCCTCATAGCCACCCCTCCTTGGTTTCCGAGGTGGTACCACTGCGGAAGTAGATTGCCCAATCTTCCCTCCAAGACTGCTGGTGGGTTTGAACTGCCAGCCTTCTGGACTGCACTCAGATGCCTTGGGCACTATGCCTCCAGAGCTCCCCAGGAAGCCACACAAGGAAGTCATTTGGGGCAAACATCTGTCAGCCCAGCACGCTAGCCAGTGGGGACGATGACAACCGGGACAATTACAGTCACCAGGGGTAACAGGTGTGTCCCAGAGGGAGGCGAGGCCAGGACCAATGCGAGTGGCAGGTGGGGACCGAGCAGCGGGTGGTGGGGACCGGGCCGTGGAGGAAGGCGCCGGTCACGACAGGAGGCGAACCAACCGCACGGCCCAGCCACTGAGCAGGGACACGAGGGGACCCGGCAGTGGCGGGGCGCCGGGCCGCGCAGGAGTTGGCACTGACCAGACCCCCAAGACCCCCGCAGAGCCACGTCCCACCCGCGGCGAGCAGCCTGGGCCGCGGAGCAGGGCGCCATCTCCGTCGGGGAACAAGCCGGCAGCAAAGACATCCACCGAGGGGCTCAAACACCCTTGGAGGGACCCCCTTAGCGACAGGCCCAGCCCAGTCACCAGGCCCCACCACCGCCTGCCCTCAGACCCCGGCCCCAGGTACCTGAGGGGCTCGCCGGATCCGGCAGACGGTACCGGGGGCGGGGCGCGCCGACGACAGGCAGACGCTCGCGCCTCACGTTTGCGTTTGCGTACCAGGGCCGCTCCCGATCGATGGCTCGGCGCTCGCCCCTCGCGCCTGCGCCCTGCCGCGGCTCGGGAGGAGCACGCGTGGCTCCGCGCTTTGGAGACGCGGGAGCTTGTTTAGAGAACAAGAATCAGTACTAACACTTCTCATCCCAGTTGTTCCGGGTCACCGTAGGCAAGGTCCGCGGGGAAGAGGCCTCAGCTTCCCTCCCGCAGAGAGCCGCCAGTCCCACCCTCCCTACTTCAGGCAGCAAAGGTGGAGGAAGCAGGCTCATTTATTAAGGGCTTCGCAGTGTCCGCAGCAGGGCGCATCTAGTGGGCGGGTGGGTGAAGGGGACGCCGGCCCGTCAGAGGCGTTTGAAGAAGAGTTTGGCACCACGGTCCAGTGTGCACACGCCGGGACCCGGCTGGCTGGGCAGCACCCGGCGCATGGCGTCCCGGTCCTCGGGGGTGAGCCGCAGACCACATAGCTGCAGCTCCTGCAGTTGTGCAGTAATTGTGTCCCAAAGGCCCAGGCTCAGGGGACCCTGGATGGCGCAGCCTGCGGGGCAAGAGCAAGCCTTGGGTAACTGCTCGGGCAGGATCTGCACGTGCCAGGGTTATTGAAGTGTTCTGCTTCAGGTCCCGCACAGGCTCCCAAGGCACACATTCTTTGTTTTCTCTCTACCAACGTGGCCCTCTAGAAGAAACACACTTCCTTCCCCTGGGGCCCCAAAGGCTGGACTCGAGTAGCCCCGAGGCCCCTTGCCCTGGGGAAGCACACCAGGCATAGCCAGATTGGAACTAACAGTCCAATCTCTGCTCTGGCTGTGCCTCAGCCTCTCCATCTGTGTAATGGGAATCATATGCCTGCCCCCAAGCTTTTAAGTTTGGAGTCCAAGTGGGCTCAGGAGGGCACTAGGTTTTGATTCTCAGGGCTCCCCTGCAGGCTCAGGACCTGGGTGTTGGGTGCATGGGGAGTAGCCCTCAGCACTGCAGTTTCAAACCAGCCTGGCCTTTGGGGCTAGGGAGGGTGCATGAGGAACCCAGGGGCTTCCGTGTGAATGCCCACCCCTCCACATCCCTGGAGATGTGAACCCTAGAAGTCAGAAGTCTTGGCTGGGTTGCCAATGAGAACAGTGGGTCGTCCTCCAGACAGCTCTGGGGAGGCCATGCCCTGGAGGAAAAGCTCCAGCTGAACACAGCTGGTCCAGAGCAGCCCCTGCCGAGAGGTGGGAAGCCCCTTGGTGGCACGACTACCCACCCTGAACGCCCTCTTCCCACCATGGAAGGGCTTCCACTTGTGGCATTTTTTGCCCAGTATCAGGCAGTGGACAGAGGTTAAGGTCCACTCCCTGGAGCTGCCCTGTTCCCCTACCCCTGGCTCCCCATAGGCTTATGGCTCTATCCTGGGGGTGGGGCATCACTTCCCTACCATATCCGCCTCCCTGACCCCATCCCCTGGGCACAAACAAGCAGGGCACAGAGAAAGGAGCCACAGTAGTGGGAGGAGAGAGCCCCAGGCCCTCACCTGACAGGCTGAGGAAGATGAGCCCACGGGGCCGCTCCTGGAGAGCAGACAGGAGCCCCTCCAGGCCTGTACAGCTGACCTCAGGGTTGGCAGACAGGTCCAGTGAGATGAGTGAGGGGCAGAGAGGGAGACAGCTGAGGGGACCATGGGTAGAAGTGCAGGGTTCAGCTTCCTGGAAGGGAGCTCACCCCACTGTCAGGGAAGACAGCCACAGGGACCCCAACAGGCCCACAGGTATGCCCTAGCTAGCACTCAGGCATCAGGGTCACAGTGGCTGGGACTGGCATGCCAGGCCCAGCTCGGGAGCCTGTTGATACCCAACCCCCCCCAGAGCCAGCCAGTGTTCAAGTGCTTGAAGCAAACAGGACAAGAAGGGGCACCAATAGGGGGAAGAGCCAGGGAGTGCTGCAGAGAGAACCCAGTCCGAAGGGTGTGCTAAGACCTGGGGGTGGGGCAGAACCCTGAGCAAGGTCCTGATCTCGGGGTACTTGAGAGAGGTGGCTGGGGCTCACACCACCTCTGCAGTCTCCCTGTCTGATCATGACTCCTGGCTCCCAGGTGGTGAGCACAGACCCTCCCTCAGAGTGGTGGGCAGTGGGGCAATGTCACCTGCTCAGGTCTCCCACAGCCTTGTCATCCAGGTGGTTTGCAGACAGGGTCAGGTGTGACAGCACACAGCCCTCCTAGACACAAGCAGCAGCCAGGGGCCCAGGTTACCTGGGTCTGGGCGCCCCCAGCTGTCACACTGCTCCCTCCTCAGGAAGGGGGCACAGAGAGAAGCAGCCTGATCTCAGTTTGGAGCTCAGAAAGAAGTGCCTCTCCTCCCAGGTGTGAGCAGAGGGCCCTGGGCTGGCCCGGACCTGGGCGCCTGCTTAGATATGAATGGGGAAGAAACAGCCCCGGGGGCAGGCTACCCTGCAGGCAGTGGGGTGGGGTCTCAGCTGGAAGCTGGGCTGAGAGCCCCAACCAACCTCCCCAGCCAGGACCCTGTAACCAGCCCTGGGGGCACGGCCTCTCCTGTCTCATACCTTGGTCAGGTACCTGACCATAGGTCCCATGAGCCCAGGGTCGCTCTTCCTGGCTGTCACACAGCTGAGCTCCAGGTGCAGGAGGGTACGGACGGGCAAGCTCTGCAGGGCCTGGGTCAGGGCCTGGGTGCCCAGGGCATTGTAGGACAGTGACAGCGTCTTCAAGTGCTCAGCTTCTGCAAGAGCCAGAGCTCTGTCAGTGCTGTGTGGTTACCCCCCCACGGGCTCTCAAGACCTCTGTCTGGCCCCCTTTTGCTTGAGAAAATAGGTTCAGAGAGGCTAGAGGGCCAGACTCTGGAGCGCAGCCTCTTGCCATGTCTGGGGGCTTTCTCCACCTCTCCCCCTAAGATCAGAAGGTCCAGTGGCCTGAGGTGGTCCCTGGGCCAGCATGTTTGTGTATAGGGCAAAGAGTAGAGAGTGCCCTATCTGTGGGAGCCCCATTGGACAAGCCTGTCCCTGGCTCTCGATGCACCCTGAGACTACCACTCTCTGTCGCCTGGAGTGGATTTGAGGTGGGAATGTTCAGGCAAAGGCAATGCTCAGAGTTAGTGAACACAGGAGGCTGCATGCCTGGGACACAGTGCTCCTCACGCTCCCCGCCCTCCATCTATCCACCTGCATGCTCCCAGAAGCTGAGTACTCCTGGACAAGGCCAGACTGGGTGTCCTGAGGGCCAGCTAAGCCTCCCAACACCCTCTCCTGAAGCTAGAACCCAGCTGTGGGGCCAGGGAGTAGATATGCCTGCCAGCTCACCTCGGAAGGCGCTGCCCAGGACAGCCTGGTGACTCAGGAAGACACTGGGGCCAAGGCCACAGGCCTGGAGGCGCAGCGTGTTGAGCGAGGGGCAGGCCCGGAGGATAGCAGCCAGGGCCAGGCCACAGGTGTCCCCAAGAGGGTTCATGCTCAAGTCCAGCTCCTCCAAGCTCTGTAGGAGACACGAACTGACACTGGGACCCGGAGCCACAAGGGCCCATAGGGGGCTACAAGGGCCAGCTCCCCTCCCCAAAGAGACTGCCCTATTCTGCCCTGCCAGGGGACCCAGGACCAGGAATGCCCCAGGCCCTACCTGAGAGGCAGACTGGTCTGGGAGGCCCGAGGCAAGCTGGTGCAGGCCGGCTGGGCCCAGGTGGTTGGAGGAGAGGTCGAGGAGGACCAGGCTGGGCATGGTGCCCAGGGCAGCCAGCAGCTCGGCAGCACACCCCTCCCCCAGCCGGTTCCCTGCCAGGCGCAGCTCCCGCAAGGCTGCATGGAGCATGAGGGCCCGCAGCAGGGGGGTGAGCTGGGCCTGACGCAGAGCCAGGCAGCAGGCACTGAAGGTGGGGCCTGAGCCATGGCGCTCCATGGCCTGCAGCACCTGCGGGTGTTCCGCTGTGGGGGTCAGACGTGGTGTCACCGAGACAGGCTGGACACCACCCCGTGCCCTAAGCCCTGCTGCCCACTTAGGGCACTGCTGCCCTGTTTCTGCCATGTCAGACCCGCATCCCACCAGGCTGATCCTCTACCAGCCATCCTTCCCTTACAGGTCCCCGCCCATACCAAGTTCTCACCATGTGACTTCCAGTAGTTCTGCCCCGCCTCCCTTCAGATAGAACCCGTAAGCTTGGCCCTGTCTTCACCCACCTGCCAGCTCCTGGTGCCAGCATAGGGTGCAGTACCCACCAGGCACCAGCCCTGGGGCTGGGGGGGGAGTTCCACCTAATTACAGTGAAGACCTGGGTGGGTCTGGAGGGAAGGATGTCCTGAGGGGCTTGTGGGCTCTCACCTTGCCCCAGGCTCTGGCAGGCCCTGTGGTACCGGTCGGTCAATGGGGGCAGGTCCCATGAAGTCACTTGAGCCAATACCTGGAAGGCGTGGTCAGTGAGCCCCCCATTGCACCTGACCCCCAGTCCCCACAGTCCCCTCACTCACCTCCTCATTGCTCTGTAGCACATCCAGGATAGCATCCTGCGGGGCCAGCAGGGCCCCCTCTTTCTGCAGCGTGAGCCTCGGCAGCAGCCCGCAGGTCTGATAGTAACGCTGAGTGGCCTGCTCGGCCAGCCAGGCCACAGAGTGGGCCTCAGTGCTGCAGCGTGGATAATGCCAAGCCCAGGTTCAGTGGAGATGCCCAGCTGCCCGGTGCCTCCCAAGTCCCACGTCCCCAGCCACCAGATCACAGCAGGACGCGGGAGGCAGGCTGACACCTTACCTGTGTGGGACAGGGATGAGGAAGAGATTATCCTGAACTCGGACACGAACCCGGACAGGTGGGGGCAAGGCAGGGCCCTGGCAGGTGGGGCAGGAGGAAAAGGGCCAAATCAGGAGGCAGACCCTCACCCAGCACTGCAACAGTCCCTACCACCCCACCGCCCGAGCCAGGGAGCACCCACTCTGCTGTGCACACACCCACCGAGGGCTGGCCTGCTCTGAGGCTCTCCTGGACAGGCCCAGGGACCTCCGTGGTACTGGGGCTTCCCAGGGGCTCCTCAGCTGAGCCGCCCTCTGGGCTTGCTTCGACCTCCACACGCCGACTCTCACGGTGGACTGGGAGGGCCAGACGGCTCTGCCGGGCCCGGGGCCTGGTGGGACGCTCCCTGCCACCAGAGCCAGGCCCTCCATGTCTGGTGCTGTCCCCACTGCCTAGGCGGCTGCCCCTCTGGTGGCCAACGGTGAAGTGCAAGTCATCTTCCAGCCAGTCCCCGGCCAGGCACTCCTCCTCAGGGATTAGAGCCGCCCGGGGAGCAGGGGCATCACCCGGGCCCCAAGTCTGGCTGGGCCCCAAACGGCGGCTCCAGGCACTCCCCACGCCCCGGATGGCTGCCTGATAGGCCGCCCGGCTGGCACTGGCCACGGCTGCCTCTCTGTCCCTGGCAGGGCTGGCCCTCTGGCCTGGGGCTTGCTGGGTGGATGCCAAGGGCCGAGGCCTCTTCTGGGCTGGCTGGAGGAGGTCCTGGCTATCTTCACCCTCTGAGCTGCTGCTGCTGCTGGCCAGCTCAAGCCGGCCTCTCCGAGGCACAGTGGGTGCTACCTGTCTGGTGGAGACCCTGGCATGGGCCTGTGGGGCCTCTGGGGCCTTTGGGGTATGAGAGGGAGGTTCTGGACCGGGGCTCGAGGGAGGGGAGTTCTCAGGATCAAACAAAGCACTGCTCGGGATGGCCTGGGACCCTGCAGGGAGGAAAGGAGCTGGGTGAGATGAGGGCCCAGCCACCATCCACCAGTCTGCTACTGCGTCCCTCAGGGCACCCGTCCCAGGGCCAGTGGGGGCCTGCTTGCCTCGGCCCATGGCAGCTGTCTGAAGCAGCCTTTCCATGGTGGCAGCCTTCTGCCGTGTCTCTTGGTCAAGGTCCCTGCTGTACAGCTGCACCCACTGCCGCAGTGTCTCCAGGGGGCTGTGGCCCTGCAGGAGTCACACCGGGCCCTGAGCAAGCCATCAGAGGAACTCCCTGGCTGTGTCCCCTGTTCTCACCCGCCCACCTGGCTTACCTTGGTGGTTTGCAGGGTCACGGATGCCCCACGCTCAATGAGCAGCTCAGCTACCTCGAAGTGGCCACAGGTGAGGGCGTCGTGCAGCGGGGTGATGCCTTCACAGCCCGGGCCACCTGGGTCATCCACTGCAGCCCCGTGGTCCAGCAGGAAGCAGACAATCTCTATGGCCGGTGGGGAAGGTGGACCTAGTGCCGAGTCCTTTCCTCACCCCCAGGACCCGCCCCACTGTACACAGACCTGGCTCACTCACCCAAGTGCCCGTGGTTGCAGGCCTCGTGCAGCGGTGTCCAGCCACAGTAGTCCCGGGGATTAACAGGGTGGCCCTGGGCCGGGGACAGCAAGCAGCCTGGCTGTGGGGGGCTCTGGGCTGGGAGCAGCTGGGGCAGGGAGGAGCACCCCGATGGGCGGCCAGGGTGTGGGGCCAGGGCTCACCTGCCTCACCAGGTCCTCGACACGGCGCAGCTGGCCCTCGATGCAGGCCCGGTGCAACTGGGTCTCACCCATATCATTCCTCCGGCTCCACTGTGGGCACAGCCACCCGTGAGGACAGGCTGCAGGGGCACGTGAGGGGGACTGGACCGGCCAGAGTGCAGGGGTGGGGACAGCCAGGGGCTCTTCACCTTGCTCGCTTTCCGAGGGCGCAGGCAGCCCCGCAGCTCCTCATCCTCCAGGCCCTCATTCTCTGGAAGAACCAAGCACACCGAGCCCTGTGAACACCAGAAGTCCCTGGCTGGCTCTCCAACCAGGGAGAGTTGAGCTGTGGCCAGAGGCCTCTGGGGCGCACTTCTGCCTGGGGGAGCCCCAACTGAAGGTGGTGGCCCTACTCTGTAGTTCTCCCGGAAGGAGACAGCTCCTCTTCCTCCAACCCGCTTCCTCTGCCCCAGGGGATGTTTGTGACCTTCCTGACACCCACCCTGTCCACAGTCTCCCCCTCCCAGACCTCTGCATACCCTTCTTCCAGTGTTGCTCATAGGGCCAAGGCACCCCAGTGTTAAGACTACTCATCCTTTCAGTCTGTGCCCCTACCCTGGTTAGACCCTCTGCCCCAGCTGTGCTGCGTCCCTCCCTGGGAGCTCAAATGCCCCCTTCACCTGCATGTCCACACGTCGCAGGCCCCCACCGCTTCCCATGACGTCATGCCCACCCACTCCTTAGGGTACTGGTTCCCTCTGGCCGTGCTGTCTGAGCCTTTCTGAATGTTCTTTACCATGGTTCCACTCACTGTCTTTTCATGGTTTTTTAACTTTTTATTGTGATTTGCGTGGAAGTTTGCAGAGCACATTGGTTTTCCATTCAACAGTTCCTACTGTGTTTTGACTTAGGACATTGGCGGAGATCCCTACAACGTAGCAGCTCTTCCTACTTCTTCCCCGTGCGTCCTGTTTCCGTTCCTCCTCCCTTTCTTTCCTGCCCTACGCTTCTCCCTTTATCCCCGGGTGGATGCTGCCCTTCACCTCCCTCCCAGGCCTGTCTGTTGTTTGGCTGACAGCTAAGCCATGGGGGTGAGTTCAGTTCTCCTACCCTGTCTATTGAGTGGCATACCTGGACCTCACATCCACTGTCCTCTGTCCCCTGTAGGGTGCCCACCATCTGCACCCCAGCAACTAGCCTGATTCCTTCTTCTAAGTCTCAAATCCCTGGCCTCCTGGACCCCTCACCTGGGCCCAGGGCCCCTCTAAGATGGAAACCCCCAGCCACCCATTGCTCCAGCCAGAGGCCAGCTCTCAACCACCTCTATCTTGCCTCCTCCACTCGGCAACCAGGTATCCATAACCCCAACCCCATCCCAGCCTCTCACTCACAACCCACCCCACACAGCTGACCTTGGCAGCCCTGGAGAAGTGGCTGCACTATAGTTCTTGGGGTTTTCTGGAACACACACACTGCTCAGGTCTTCCACGACACATCCCTGGCTGAGCCAAGTTGGTCTTAATGTCTGTCTGTCTCTAGCACAGCACTGTCCTTGGCCTCTGACCCGACCGCCCCCTCCTCTGCCTGCCTCTTCCTCCAGTGCTCCTGGGCCTGGCCTGGGTCCTGCTGCCTCTGCCCACCTCCACAGAGGCTGATGACTCTCTGCGTGAGCTGTTTACCAGGGGGCCTCCCACCACAGCCCCGCGGTGGCACGCACCCTCGCTGCTCTCCGAGAGCTCCACCTCACTGGACTCCAGAGCCTCACTGTCCTCCTCTTCCTCTTCCACTTCCTCCTCTTCCTCCCCCTCCTCGGCTGCACTCAGCTCCTGAAGTCTGGCCTCCGAGTCAGGGGCCTCCTGAGGCTGCAGCCTCAGTTGAACCTTATGCAGGTGCTGCAGGATGCGCCTCTGAAGGACAGGGGCAGAGGGGCCAGGGCCAGCTCAGAGCAGGTCCTGGATGCCAGCCAACCCAGGGTGCAGAACACCGGGAGGGGCAACAGGTTTGGCGAATACTGCAGTATGGGTGGGAGGGCTCTCACACCTGTAGCTGGGGCCTCTGGGCCTGCTGTGCACAGCTGAGAGCCTTCTGGAAGCATGGAGCCAGCAACTCGTAGACATCCCCAGCCTCCTCTCGCGACAGCGCGATGTTGAACCAGGTCTTTGCCTCCTGGAGCAGACGGAGGAGGGATGAGCCTGGTGGCCACACCAGACCAGCCCCCGCTCGCCCCAGCTCCTCCACTGCCACCCGACACAGCAAGGTCTGCCCTGGCACTGAGCCTCGCCCAAAGCCATGGGCGAGGGAGATGCTTATCAGTGCCCTCCACACGGTGCAGTCGAGAGACCCCAAGCCGCGTGAGCAGACAACGGTGCACTTCACCTCCAGGGGGTTCCCGCTGTGAAGCCTCAGCTCCTCCTCATAGTGGTGCACTGCTCGGCGTGGCTCCTTCATGTCACCCCAGGTGGTGGCCAGGGACACGTGGATGACGGCCAGCTCGGACCCTGGCCGGCCAAGCAGCTCCGCAAAACGCAGCTGAGGAGCCAGTGCCAGTGAGCCCGCGCCTCCACTCCCAGCCTGCTGCCCCCCGGGACGCCCCACCCAGCCGAGGCCTCGCCACCCCCACACCTCCAGGTGTACCCCAGACCAGCTGGGCTGCACACCTGCTTCTGATAGGCCTCAGCTGCCTTGGGAAAGTCGCCCGCCTTGGAGAACAGGTCCCCCAGCTGTTCACAGATACCCATGGCGCTTTCAGGGTCTGAGCCTTTGGTTTCTTCCAGCTGCTGCTGCAGCCGAAGCACCTTTAGCACTGCAAGAAGAGCCTCACGCAAACGGGGCCCTGCTCCCAGCGCTGCCCCTCCCGGCTGGGTGCCTGCAGGCAGGCCATCAATGCCTCCAGGCCTCCATTCACCCATTGGTAAAACATGGCAGTGAAAGCTTACCACACAGAAAAACTAGTAAACTGAGCATCTGAGACCACACCTGCCTTTGGGAGACCTGGCTACTATCGCCCACTGCAGAGCCATGGGCACTGCATGGAGGGACGTCACCCCTACTTGTCACTGAAGCTGCTGTTATAAACTGTGCCCATCTCAGAGTAGCCTGGGTGGTGCAATGGTTAAAGCACTCATCTATGAACCAAAAGACCCCACCTGCTGCTCCATGGGAGCCCTCCCCAGCTTCCCACCCCTTCCCACGGGGTTCCTGTGCCGCAGGTCCCCCTTCCAGTCTCACCATACTTGAGGCTCCTGCAAATCACCGCCCTTTGCAAAGGCTTCTGGGAACCTAGCCTGTAGGCCTTCTTCAGGGCACGTTTGGCAGCCAAGAAATCCCCCAGGTCTTGGAGGATCTGGGGGCCAAGGAAAGAAGGTGAGGCTTGCATTCTGCCCAGAGGCCCCCCCCCCGCCAAGGCTCCGGGGGTGGCGGCACACCTGTGAGATCACTACGCAGCACTCACTCTCCATGAACCCCCTCTTCAGCGCACGGGCGCACTCCCGGGCGCCCTCCAGGCAGCGCATGGCCTTGGAGTGCTGCCCTGCTTGCCAGTGGATGGTGCCTAGGTTATAGCGGGCACGGAACAGGTCCTCAAGGAGATGGTTCTGCCTGCGGGCGGAGGAATCAGCACTCAGGGCCCCTGGCATAGGGGACACCTGAGGCCCCTCAGGTGGTCATTGACGTGCAGTGAGTGCTCAATAAATTATAGGTACTGCCACCACGCTGGAGTCCAGCCCCGCCGAGCCTCAGTCAAGGGCTTCTCCGCCTCCCCAGGCCAAATCCAGCCTGCTCCTCCTGGCAGTCAGTGCAGACAGAGAGGTGAGGCCCAGCCAGACTGCCCTTGTGGGTGGTCCCGGGAACTGCCTGGTGCTTTCCCTGAGTCAGGGAACAGGCCAGTGGTGGCCTTACTCAGACAGGAAAATGCTCTTCTTGAAGTAGTCGCTGCACAGGGCCGGCTGCTGCAAACTGTCAAAGGTGAGGCCCAGGTTTAGGTAAAGCCGAGTCCTCATCTCAATCAACTCTCGGTGGGTCACAGCCCCTGCAAGATGCACCCCAGACACTCAGCCACCTTATCCCCACTCGGGGTCTCCAGCCTGGCCCTGTGACCTCTCCAGGGCTGTCTACCCTCCTCTCCCCCCTGTGTGGGTGTCATGGGCCCTGCCGCAGACACACTGTGGGTGGAGGGTGAGGGCAGAGGGTCACGGTGACTGATGGGAGGTTGAGGCCCAGCCAGTACACTCCCCCACAGGAGACGCTGCTGGTGCAGGGAGAGCCCAGGCAGTTGAAACCAGCCATGTAAGATGGCTGGTGACTGGGCCACAGCCTCCTCTGCCTGCAGTTAGGGGGCAGCGGTGGCGAAGGGCCAGGCCCCTGAAGGCACCCACCCTCCAGCTTCTCATCCACAATGGCCAAGCTCTTCTGAAAGGCAGCCTGCGCCTGCAGCAGGGCATCCCGTGACTGGCTGTGGTCATAGATGTCCAGGTAGGTACGGCCCATGGTGGCCCAGGCCCTCTGTAGCTCGACGTGGTTAGACAGAGAGCAGGCCAGCTCCAGGTAGCAATGCTGGTGCTGGAGCGGGAAGGGGAACCACTGCTGTGGCCTGACCCCAGTTAAGCAAGCCTGATCTTCCCCAGGGGAAGGAGCCTCGTTTCCCCCAAATCCCCAAGGCCCCTACAGAGCAGGCAAAGACCAGGCCCCACCCCTCCCATCTCCTCTGTGCCAAGAGCTGTCTGTGGTGACAGCTCCCCTTGACACTCTAACCAGCTAGTAGCATCACAGGGCAGAAGGGGCCATTTGCGCCGGAAGCACCAGGAGCGGGTGCCACAGCCCAGCACCCAGTAGCCAGGGCAGCCCTGTGCGGACACTGGGTCCTGGACCTCCGGCCATCTGGCCCACAATCGCAGCCCAGGAAAGTTTTCAGGTCAGAACCTGCTCCTGCGGGGCCCCAGGAGATGCTGTGGTGCCCATCAGTCCTGGGGCCCCCTGGAGGTGAGACTGCACATCTCTCCTCTCCCGCTACTGGAAACCACGCCTCCCTTCCCAGAAAGGGACCCGGAGGGCTGTAGGCCAGACAACGCAGGCTGCGGGGTGGCTGGCTGCTCCTGCCGCGCCCCACGCCCCCAACCTTCAGGGCAGCCGAGTAGTCCTCCATCTCGGCCAGCCGCTCCCCGATCTTGCGGTGGGCCACGGCGCAGCCCAGGCGGTCGCCGGCGCTCTCCAGGAGCTGCAGCTCTTGCTGGTGCTCCTCCAGGGCCTCCGCGTAGCGGCCTGAACGGCAGGGCACAGAGAGCCTCAGACTCACCCCGGCCCGCAGCCGGGGGTGCGACGCCGGGGCGGGGACGCCGCCCTCCTTGGACGGGGCCCGGCGGGCGGCACTCACCGCGGCTGGCCAGCAGCTCCCCCAGCTGGTGGCAGGAGGCGGCCTCCTCCCGCAGCTGCCCGCTCCGCTGGGCCCTGGCCTTGGCCTTTCTCAGCTCTGCGGAGGAGAGGAGTGGAAGCGCGCGCAGGACAAGCCCGCCCCATCCGAGAGCCAGGTCCCAGTCCCACTCCCCTGAGCTCGGGGCACCTGGGGGACTCACGGCGAAGCTCGCGCTCCAAGCTCATGCTGCCGCCGGGTTGCCCGGGCCGGGGCCTCCGATGCGATCCGGAATTCCCGCGCTTCCGCGGCCCCGCCCCCAGCTCCGTGCGCAGGCCCGGCCCGGCCCCTCAGCTCCCGGGGCCCCGCCCCCAGCCTCGCGCACCGGCGCGGCGCACCCCTCAGCGTTGGCGCCAGCGGCGAGGGCGGAGTGGTTAGGCCGTGGAGCATTCTGGTACGTGTAGTCGTGCTTACCCCGAAGCATTCTGGGAGTTATAGTCCGGCTGGCTCAGACTGGGATACAGCATCAATGGGGCGAGCCCTGGAGGCCGGACGTTTACCTGGGCTGAAAGAGTCGCGCCCGGAGGCTGAGTTCTCTGCCCCGGCCTGTGGTCGCCTAAGCCCGAGGAGTTCCTCCTAGCAGACGGCGGAGAGGCGGGCTGGGAATGCGAAGCTCCAGCAGACTCAGGGGTTCTTCGGCCGTCGCGCGGTCGCCGCTGCCCATCCCTCGCCCCCGGCTGGCCATCCCTGTTCCCCGGCTGCCCGTCGGCCCCTCCGGCCAGCTCCCCGCCATGGGGGGAAATGACCCCTGTGAGACAGAGGCGTGCAGAGCAGCCGTCCTTTCCCGCAGCCCGCCCCCGCCCCCTTGAGGTGAGGTCTCCTGGCTGTAGCCCCAGAGCTGCCAGCCGGCCTGGAGGCTCTCAGCCGTTCAGACTAGGAGTCCACCGTCCCCTTTCCTTATAAATACTCCGTAAGGGCACCCTTACTGCCAATTAAAGTTCAGAAAGTATTTAAAAACCCTGCTGCAGGGAACATCAAGCTCAGTTGGCAAAACATACTACACAAAACGTTGTTCCATCTCCTACTTTGGTGAGTAGCAACTGGGATCTTAAAAGCTTGCAAGCGGCCATCTAGATGCAATGACTGGTCTCTCCTCCTCTATAGCAAAAAATGAAGAAAGCCAAAGATGCATGGAAACAATTAGTCCAAGTGACTGGTACACCATGCGATCCGCAGCCTATATGACTATGAGACCAGAAGAACCAGATGGTGCCCGGCTACCACTGTCAAGCACCCAGAGGGGGATCTATGTAGGAGATCCTGGATAGGAAGGGAGAACAATGTGGAACAAAACTCAAAATCATTTGGGAAAAAAAAAAGGAGGAGGAGGACCAGGTTTGTTTGTCTGATAGAGCCTGGTGGAACCCCTGAGACTATGGCCCCTAGCTGCCCTTCAGGTCTGGAATTCAACCCACACCTGTGGCTTTCAGCCAAACAAAAGACAGGCATATGAGCTGAACATTTACATTAGGTAGATACATTCCTTGGAGAGATCAATCATGGGAGAACAGAAGGGCTGTGTATGCACAGGGAGACAGCTCAGGGGGCAGAAGTGCATGGAGGGGAGGACACAGGGAAAAGGTAACTAGGGAGTAGGTCGGAGGAGAGCTGTTGCATTGTGGGAAATTGTAGTCAATGTCATGAGATAAAGTGTATGTGAGCTGCTGTATGGAGAGTGAATTTGCTCTGTAAACTTTCACCCAAATCTCTCTCTCTCTCTCACACACACACACACACACACACACACAACTTAAGAAAGGAACATTTGATTTCTAGCCAGAAGGCTGGTGGTTCAAACCCACCAGCACTCCCCAGAAGGAAGACTGGGCAATCTACTTCCGTAGACACCACCTCGGAAACCCAAGGAGGGGTTGCTATGAGTCGAATCGACTTGACAGCAGTGAGTTTGGCTTTTTTAATGCTTCGATGTCAGATAACCCAAGCCACTGCCAGAGTAGCTTCCAGCTCATAGGGCCTAAAGGACAGAAGAGAACTGCCTCCATGGGTTTCCAAGGCTGCAAATCTTTTCAGGAGCTGACTGCCTCATGTTTCTCCCATTATGGCAACTAAATGCCTTAACCAGAGCACCACCAGAGCTCCTGGCTCTGATACAAGGGGACATGAAAGATAGTCTGACAAGATGTACTTGAATGTTTGGATCCTTGAGCATGAATGTTGAAGCCCCCCTTCTACAGAACCCAGAATGCAGGCTGGCTCTGGACAGGCACCGTGGAGTCCTATCTGGTCTGTAGAGTCCCACACTGCTGTGTATGGGGGGGTGAATTAAAAAATGAGCAGTGAGGTACCATTGCCTCACTGTGCATGCCAGTTGTGTTCCTGAAAACTTAAGTGGATGTGTGCTCAAACTGCAGAAATGCTTTGTTTAGTGGTGAACAGGAGTTAGGGCCCAGGTGCAGAGGCTCACCGGGGTGACGCCTGCCAGGACGTCTCGCATCTGGTGGACTTCGGGCAGCTCAGGCCCAAACCTCCAAATACCCGTGCTGTCCTCCAGTGCTGTCAAGACCAAATGCTCTCAGGGGAGCCCTGGTCCACTCTCATTCCTGGCTACTTTTAGAGTTCAGAGTTAAACCCTGGGCTGCCTAGTTTCACAGCAGGTGTCCCAAAGCCCTGCTGAGATTGAGGGTGCATCCTACTGAGGCCCAAAGCAGCAGAAACAAACACGTTTATAATACAGGTCCAATGGGGTAAAATTCTAGGCCCCTGGATGGACAGCAAAGGCCAATGGCAGTCCAGCCGGGGCTCCTAGAACTAGGGAGGGCTGCCCACAGCCAGAACCCAGGCTGGAAGGCAGCAGAGCATAGCCTTCAGGTGTGGCATGAGGGCCGCTGCTGGAGGTGGGTGCTTGATCCAGCCCAAGTATGGGGGACAGGACAAAAAGACCTACACCATCCTCTCGACAGCCCAAAGCTCAGCTTTGACACCAAGGCAGCCACTTGGCGCGAGAGGAGGGGTCACAAGGTCACAGAAGCAAAGGGTGAGTTGGTGAGGGGCCTTGAGGACAGGGCAGGTCAGACAAAGGGGTGCAGGGGAGCCCCTGACTGCTCCATGCCTGCGTTTCCCCACCAACCAGACAGGATCTGTGAATGAGGCAGTGCTGCCAGGGGCCGGGCAGCAGTGGCCACGAGCTTCTGGGCAGCGTGGGCCAGAGCCCTTGGGCTGAGGGGGCCCATCTCTGGGGGCCAGCTTCTCTGAAGGAAACACAGACAGGCCGTGGTTTAGAATACTTTTTTAAACTAGTTACATACACAAAACATCCAGCGAACTCAGACTACAACAGGGACACACGAGTCATGGCCAATGGGTTAAAAATGCCTCTCGCGGAAAAAAAAAAAAAAAAAAAATGCCTCTCGCTCTATGTAAAAACTTTTTATTATCTTTGTGAATTTCCCACTTCGGGCAAAGGGAGGGGTGTAGTGCTCACAGGGGAGGGGCTGCCCTCTCCTTGTCCCCACTGAGGCATCTCAGAGACAAGAGAGCAGTGAAGGACCAGGTCAGGATGCCAAGATGGTGCAGGTCACGGGATGGTATGGGCATGACACTGGCCAGTAAACCTGTTACCCACAACAGCTTTGCTGCTAGGAGTGCTGGGTGCCTGCCTCCTGGTGGTGGCAACGGGCATACTACAGTCTTCCAGGGTGCCCAGTTGACCAGGCTATAAGGCTCAGCTTCGCATGAACTACTGGGGGGGGAGGGATGACGACAGCACAGTGCTCCTGCAGACACATACCCACATTCTCCCAGGGTCTCACCTTGAACTCAGGCATTGTCCCATCAGTCTGCAAGCCTGGCTGCCAAAAGTAGGGGACTGTGCATACCCCACACAAGACCTTTCCTGTCCATTTGTTCCACCCCACCCCAACTATACACAGGGCCACCTGCCCTGAAGACTGCTCAGCCAGTCTTGGTTTCCTCCTCCTCCAGGCAGGCCTCCATCTTCAGCCCCCACAACATCATACATTCACCGGCACACTGACCTGCTGCCTCCAGGATCCCAGGGAGCATGCCCCTCTGAGGCCACTGTCCCGGCCTGATGTAGCCAGGTAGTGGACACATTCACTACTCCCCCTCTCCAGAAGACTCCTCACACACACACAAGCTGGTCCCTCTACCTGAACCCCTCTCTTATAGGCACCCACACACATGCAGACAGGAGCAACCTCCCAACACAGTCACCGTAGGATCCAGAAACAGAGACACTGAGATGTGGCAGTAAAGCCTCCAGCACACACATGACCTCAAGGGCCAGCATGCAACACACACAACCCTGACAGACACTGTCTACCCTGAGCGCTGCCCTCTGCCTCGGGCAGGGCTGGGAGCAGGGGGCAGCCCAAGTCAGGACTCACACAGGGAGCCCGAGTCAGGCTCACCACCCAGACCTTCCTCTGCAGCTGCTACAGCCTGCAAACCTACAGGTCTTCTCTACCCTGGGGACCCAGGCCATGTGCCCCTTGCTGCATGGTTGGGAAGGGAACCCAAGCAGGCTCTTCAGCTTGAAGCAACTGCTAGCCCATGTGGACACCTGCCCAGCCACGCTCAGGATGTGGGGCTCAGCGACCCACCCCACAGCCTCTCCCCCTCCGCCAGCAGCCCCCTTGGCTGTCTGGGCCCAGGTGTCCTTTCAGACCTTCCTCTGGAGAGGCCAGCCAGACCAGCAGCACTGCACTCATGGGCAGGGGGCTGCCCCACTCCCAGTCTGGTGCCCCAGGTCACCTTCTCTGCAGGCATCACCCATTTGGGTGTGGGGGCAGAGGAACCCCAGTTCTTTGGTATCAAAGCAACACAAAACTAGGGCCTGGCAGCCCCCTCTAGCCCTGGAGGGCTTTATGGTTCCCAGGCCATTGGTCAGCCCCTCCAGCACAGGTTGCTGTGCTGCTCCCCCACGTAACCCGCCCAAGGGAATCTGCTGCTCCCATCACACAGGCTGGGAAGGGCCAGCCCCCTTCAGGGAAAGATGGTGGCCTTAGACCTAGCCAGGCCTGCTCTGCAACTTGCAGCCCCCAGAGCTCACTGCACAGCTCAGGGATGGTGGTGCTCAGGGATGGAAATGGGAATAGATTCTCTTGCCAAATCGCCTAACTTACAGAAGAGCCTAGAAAGAGTTTCATTTTTTTCTGGGAGGAGACAGAATTTCACCCTGCATTCCGAAAACGTCTGCTGAGGCCTGCTGGCCTTCCTACCCCCTCGCGGGGTAGCCCTGGTCAATCCCCTGCAGAGCGGTAGACTGCCCAGCCCCCCCACTGTTCGTGCCCTGGGATGGGGGATAGGGGTGGTGGTGTGGTATCTCGAGTCTATCCAGGGGTATAACGGGGTGCAGGTGATAGACCGGGGGGGGGAGCAGGCTGGCTCCTGTTGGTGTCCTAGGTGCCGTCGGGCTCCCAGGCCACGCCAGAGCTAGGCTCCCACGCTGTCCACTCGCGGCCACGCCTTCCCCGCCAACAAAACAGAAAGTAGGAAGCAAGGGAGCCTTTTTAATTGGAACCAAATACGCCGTCTGAAGTCAGCAAGGACCCCGAGCCAGCCCGGAGCGGAGCACGGAGCCATGGGAGGCCAAGCCTCTGCCAGGAGTGCAGGCGGGGCCCATCACCCTCTCCCGCCACCACAGGAGAGACGGAGTGGGCGGTCAGGGCGGGCGGCCACATGTCCCACACGCATGCAGACTTTCCCTACGTGTTCTGGTTCGTGTTTTCCTCCATTAGCTGAAATGACCTGTGACGGGGTGAGACGTGCTGAGCACGTGCGGCGGCCCGGGGTGGCGGTCGGCTTAGCGTGGCTACTTCTGGATCTGGAACAGGAAGAGCCGCAGGTTGATGTTCTTGGCAGCCAGCAACTTGTTGCACTCCACCGAGTCGGTGATGGGCAGCGGCACATAGTCGGTCTCGTTACTCTCATTGGTGAACACGAAGTGGTAGATGACAGGGTTGATCTTCACGTCATCGTACGGGCCCTTGAGCAGCAGGAAGGAGCACTCCAAGGGCGCGTTGACCTTGCTCTTGATAATGAGCTGGAAGGAGAGTGTGCGTTTACACGACAGGTTGGGGTTGCGCTCCGAGTCATTCACTCGTGCCTTCAGGACCCACGTCTGGTTCAGCACCGTGAACCGGGGCGTCTCATAGTACAGGCGCGTGATGAAGTCGTCCGTGCGGTATGGCCGGAACTGGACCTCTGTGGAGACAGACAGGCAGGGGCAGCAGTCAGAGCAGGCAGGACAGGCGGGAGGAGCACTTACCGGAGAGCATTGCAGTGCCCCACTGGCCAAATGGTAGGCAAGCAGGGAAACGAGGCATACACATGCCTGGGGGAGGTCATGTGAACTGGCTTGGAGCTGGAGGCTGCCAGGTGAGTGCCCAGGACCGGGGGAAGCCCGAGCACACCACCTCATCACCCTGGCCCAGGCCCAGTCCAGGTAGGAGAGAGGCATCTGCCCAGGGGGTGGGGCAAGCAGACACACAGACAGGGTGCAGTTCTGAGAACAAGTGCATTTTATTGGTTCCAATACACAGCAGCCAGCAAAGCTGGTGGGCGGGCGCCCAGCACCCACCCTGCCTGCACTGCGAGCTGCACCCAGGCCGGCCTCTTGCTAGGGGATGGGGCTCCGCCCGCTGTCTTGGAGGATCGGTGAGGCAACGGCAGCCCCTGCCTTCTGCACAGTCCTCTTGGCTCTGCCTGAAGCCTATGGCCGGCAAGTCCACGGTGGAGGGGCCAGCATCCAGACAGCCAACTGTTCCTGCACAGACAGGGCCTTGAGCCCCGCTGCCATGACACGCCAAGCCACCCGGATCCCACGAGGCCTGGACTGCCTAGACCACGGCGCCCAGTTGGGGCCGCAGCCTCCACTGCCGTCTAAGGCCATGTGGGCCCTGGGCCACCCAAGCCTGCACAGCCCACACCTAATGGGCTTGCCCCGGCAATGAGGTGTGACTGGCTTCCCATGACTGCCTGGACTTCGAGCTGGCCACTGGCATGGTGGGCAGCGGAGGTCGGTGTCCCTGCGCAGGCTGGCATCAGCAGGTGCTCCGAGCTCCTCTCTGGCAGGCTCAGCCTGTGGCCTGGCCCCCGTCACGTCCAAGGTGGGCAGCCCGTGAGCTGGCCCGGCTGTGGTGTCCACGAGTTCTGCAGTTGGGGTTAGCACTCTCAGTTTGTTCTGAAGCCTGGTCAGCTTTGTGCTGGCCTCGCGGTGCCTGCCCAGCAGGACCTGGCCCAATAAACATCTTCTCGCCCTGTGCCTAGGCCTCCCGCAGACACGCCTGTCTTCTGGTCAGCACCGCCTGTCCCGAGTCCGAGGATGCCCCCTGGTGCCCCCGCCACGGCGCAGCCCCGTGCCCTCGCAGGGGCTCCCCCTACCACCCGTGAGTGGTGCCCACCTGCACGGCATGCAGCAGGCGGCGTGGTACCTCACCTGTATAGCCAATCTTCTCGAAGCTGAGCAGGCTGAAGATGCTGTTGTAGAGCTGCATCTCCTTACGGCGGCCCTGGTCCATCTCGTCCAGGATCTCCATCAGCTCATTGCCTGTCTTGGTTGGGTGGGCGCACGCAGCCTCGTGTGCCGTCAGCTCATGGAAGGGGCCGTGCCACGGGCAACCGATACGCTTGTACTTGCACTGGGTGACCCTGCAGAAAGTGGCATGGTAGGGTCACGGCCTGTGCCCCCTCCCACTCACGTGGAACAGCCCTGAAGGACAAGCTCATCATGTGCACGTGCGTGCCACAGAGACAAGGAGTACGCGTGCCGTCTAGGCCTCGGCTGCAGGGTTGGCCCCCTGCCCTATGTGGCTGCACTGCAGGCTCAGGTCTGAACAGCAGTACAACCTCGTGTGCCCGAACTGAGGCTGGGCTGGTGGCTACAGGAACAGAGACCTAGCAGCGGGCAGTGTGTCCTGCCGGCCCCCGCCCTGCAGAGCCCCGAGGCGGCAGCCTGCTACCTGTCCTGGCACTCCTCCTTCTGGTGCCTCTCCAGCAGCGAGCGGGGAAACTGGCGCAGGCAGAAGCCGCACTCGGAGGGCAGCTCGCTGACAGCCTTCTCCACGGCCAGGTTCCGGCAGCAGAGGCTCTTACTGATCTCGCAGCGGCAGTTGGGGCACGTGGCCTGTTCCTCCTTCAGCCGGGCATCTGCTAGTAGGTGGATAAAACAGCCAGCGCACATCAAGTGACCATTAGTACACTGCGAAGAAGGAGAGGGAGACGACGCTCACAGACCTGGTGGGCCAGGCACGCGCCCACCGCCGCAGCTCCAGCTAGGCCGCCGTCCTCTGGGGACTCCGGGCAGGCGGGTCACTGGCGGCAGAGGTGCCTGTGTCTCTTCCCAGGGCCCTCCAAGGACAGCCGACTCAGATCCCCTGGAGATGTGGTGCGTCAAGGACACGGCCCTCATGGCTGGCCGAGGTAGAGGCTCTTCACCGAGACAGGCCCCACAGGAGGTGGTTAGCTTGCCCACACTGGGGCTCTGGGCTTGACCCATGCCCAGGCTCCTGCAGCCCTCAACTGCGGAACCTACAGGAGCACCCAGCTGGCAGCTCTTGGGGGTGCACACGGCATACCACTGCCAAGCAGGTGGATGGATGCTGCTCTCCACCCCGATGGACCTAGTCTGCTCCTCAGCCTTTAGAAAAGCCAAGTGCACTGAGGGCAGGCACCCGCACTGGTTAGTAAGGCCAGCCACCTGCAGGGCCAGCAAGAGGCCAGGTCTGCCAGGGCAGTGTGTGTGGCTTTGGGGGCAGGATCTGGGGCTACAGGCCCGGTGCTACAGGGCTGGCGCTGGGCTGATGTAAGTGGGGTAGTGAGCCCGTCCCCCTCAGGGCCTAAGGCATGACCCTTTCTGGGCAGGCAAGGCTAAGGATGGACTGTGCCCACAGTGAGCTGCCCCACCCAGGGCCCTGTCCATGAATGGCAGGCCGCTGCTATCCTCGGTCCCTTTCTTGTTTGACACCCCCAGAGTACCCCCTTAGTGCCTGTCTAGGGACATACACAGACTGTGACTCAGGCCTTGAGAGGAGTCCCACAGGGGAACCAAAGTGTCCAGACAGCTCCCTGCTCATGCAAGGCCTATGACAGGTGCACAGACTGGACCAGGGCAAAACAGCACCTCAGGGGCCAGGCTGGGGCCTGGGCCACACCCAGGGGGCTGCCCAGGAGTAGGGGCAGGCCAGGCTGCCATTTGGACAGGCTGCTCCAGTGCTGGCTGGGCCTTGCCAGCCAGGGCAAACCTCCAGAAAGCCACCAGGCCAGGGGAGCCCTTGGGAGCAGCGGGAGGGGGATGTGACCACAGTCTGACTGGGGAGCACGCCCACATGTGCTGAGGCCCCGCAGTGCTCACTACCCTTCCAGCATCTGCTCAGGGCCGTGGGCCCCAAGAACAATGTGCAGATGGCATGGTCCTTCCCAGGCCTGAGTCCTAGGCACCCAGCAGGACCCAGTCACACCAACTCCACTGACTTCTCCACATCCAAACCTCAACTTCTGACCTCAAGGTCAGAATCAAGATGCACCCATTGGAAAAGGAATGGGCCTTGTAGTGGCTGGGAGGACAAGGCTGTCTGAGTATGGGAGTGAGGGGTCAGCCTGCCAGAGGAAGAGCAGGGAGGCACAGCTGGCTGGCCCATCCATCCTGGGGTCAGCAGAGAACCACAGGTGTGGAGGGCACAGTGGGTGGGCGGATGGCACAACAGCCTGCCGCAGAGGTCACAGACCAGAGCCCAGACCACCCAACCCCTGTCCCCACTGCAGCACTGCCCAGGGCTTCACAAGGCAATCAGACCGAGGGCTGGCTTGAGATCAGGGCCAGGGGCCTGCATCCACCATCCACCCATGTGGCAAAGGTCCCCGGGAAGCCAAAGCCCTGCCCTCCCGAGTGGCCTGTGCGTCTAGGGCTACCCCACACAGTGCGGAACCCACTGGCCACCGAGCCCCACACTGGCTGTGGCCTCTGTGGCTGCCCACAGTGGGCTGGCAAGAGGGAGGCAAGGCTGGACTGCTCAGTGCCAAGGCCCCAGCCAAGGCCTGTCACCACTTCTCAAAGGCAGGAGCTTGAGCAGTGGGAAAGAGAAAGCTCAGATGTCTGCCCCCTTAGAGCAAGGCCAAGACCCGCAGCACCATGCTTGGTGAGGTTTCCAACAGCCATCACGTCACCTCAAGACCCATGCCTTCCCAGGACCTGGGATTCCGTGAAGGTCTTCTTAATGAGGGGCTGCACAACTGCTCCAGGGTCCCCACCTGGCCCATGGTCCCAAGCAGGGCTGGGGTCCATGTGCCCCACATGCACAGGCCCACCTGGCCACTGATGCTAGAGAGGCCTCGGGAGAGAGCCCAGACCCAGCTGAGGCTCCAGCACTAAGCCCTGCTGCCCATCCTGGGGCCCACGGCTTCTGTGCAGAAGAGAAATGATGCTAGTGGGCCTCTGCCCAGACCCTGCACTCCCAGTCGGCATCGCGCTCACCCACAGCACACCCACCACAGTGCTCCTCTCTTGGAGCCTCCGGATTCCAACACAAGGTCAGTTAATTCAGCTGCTGGCCACTGGGCTGTGCTCTGGGCCGGCCGCAACACCGACAGGTGAGACGCTGGTTCTGAGTGGCTTGGCCCTGCCCTCCTCCGGGCCCTGCTGGACTTCCGAAGGGAGTCCATGAGCTCTGGCAGGGGTGGGCTCACTGCCCCCTCAGCACCGGCAGCTTGGCTCTGTCGGTTGCGTGAGCTGGCGTGGAGTTCAGGAACATCGCCGGCCCGGCCAAGGATGAGCCACCTCCAGGACACCAGGCTGGTAAATACCAGGGTGCGTCCTGCCCAGTGACATCCAGTCCAGCAGGTTTGTCCATGGAAGGTGGCCGCCACATTCCAAAGCCTCCTCCCTGCCACTGGGCCCCATGGCCTCTAAGCAAAACCCCGACTGTGTATGCAGCCCAGCCATAAGGCAGCCACGGCCTCAGCTGCCGTGTGACACCAAGACTGAGCTAGCCCCCCATTTTCTTTCTTTCTTTTTTTTTTTTTTTGCCACCACCCAGCCAGAAGCTAGGCCTGTAGACTCCACAATGGGGCACCAGGCCCCCAGTGGACTGCGTGACTGGCAGCAGGCCTGAGAACCTGTAGGCCACGTGACTGGGCCAGCTGGCACCTCTCACCATGCGGCCCAGCCAGGGCCCCATGCTGCCTCCAGGTACCCCTCAGCCTAAAAAACCAGGAGAGAAGGGCCAGCCCTGCAAGCAGCACCACTGGCCAGCCAGCCCAGCCATCAGCAGTGTACCTCAGGCTGGCTGACTCCCCTCTGGGCCTCAGCTTCCTCCTTGGTAGGCCGTGACAGTGGGCCTCAGTGTACTGGTGAGGAGACGCAGGGCAGTGAAGAGACACCACTTCTGTCCTGCAGCCCCTCCTCCCACCTTGGGACTCCAGGCACAGCACTGTGATCTCAGTGGAAGTCCACGCCTTACCAAGGGGCTCCCCACCCAGGAGGCACTGGTCCACAGGGGTGCAGCATCATGACCCTGAAGGGCAGCAACCCCACTGAGCAGAGTAGGGACAGTGAGGAGAGGCCAGTGCACAGGGCACTGGCCCATCCTCCCTATGCTGGGGACCTCTGTCAGCTCCTGCTGGCTGAGGGGGCACTGATGGACCACTTGGACCAGGCTTGGAGAATGGGCCTCCCCATTTCCTGGGGACCAGGCAGCCCTGTGGTCAGCAGGCCTAAGATACCTTTCGTGTATAGGGGTACCCTGGGCACCCTACTCCACTCCTTCCCACAAGAAAGCAGCATGGTCCCCTGAATGTTCTGGGGCAGAGATGCTGGGGCCCACCAGGGCGGCCCACTGCCCTTCCAGGGGTTCAGACCTGCAGGCCTCAGCGGCAGCTGCGCTCCAAACACAGCTAGGGGATGCCCTGTGACACAAGCGCCAGAACACCTCTCCCTCCTCCTGCACCAAGTAGGCAGCCCCCTCCTCATCTTCAAATAGAAACGGGTGGAGGGCTGGTCCTGGAAGCTGTCACTTCCTTATCTTGTGCTATTAACACCACCCAGAAAGCAGGGCCCTCAATGCAGCCCTCCCTGCCCCGTCCCTGCTCTACTGGGAGCCAAAGAAACTGAAAAGGACAAACACCATTTGCACCTGGCCAGGGCTCCGGAAACTCCCTCCTCTCCTGTGCCCAGCACACGTAAGTAGACACATGGGGCAGCTCTTTCCTGCCACCTTCCTCCCCTCCAAGGACACATCTGCTATGGCTCTGTGCTGCACCCCCAAGAGCTGCTGCCAAGCCCCTGGGCCTGGTCTCCCCCACTGCAGGAACTGAGGGCCCACCTGGGCAGCCTGACCAGGGTGCCTTCTGTCTGTAGTCACTGCAGCCCCAATCCTGGAGGGCCTGGTGGCCAGAATGCACCCACACATACACCGGGAGCCTCACACAGACTGAGACTGTCCCGTAGGTAACGAGTCCCAGGGCCAGGTCCTGCTCTGAGTGTAGGTGGGGGACACAATAGGATAGGACCAGCCCTGCAGGAAGATGGAGGGAGTGGCCCTGTTCAGCCAGGCAGAGAGGCATGCCTACAGTGGCAGGTGGGGTTCACAGTGGGCTACTTCGTCTGTCTAGGAAGAGAGCAGAGATGGGCACAGACAGGGCTCTCAGAGGGTGAGGGCATGAGGAGCAGGGTCCCTCATGGAGGTGGGTGGGAGACGTGAGGTCTCTTCTTGCAGATAGGCCCCAGGGCTCAGGGCTCAGGGCTTGTACAGGGCATGAAGGGTCAGGGCGAGCTTTGTGCTGTGGACAAGGCTGGCAGGGGGAGCTAAGGAGGAGTCAGGGACTAGGCACCAGGAACTCCCCACAGTAGAGGCAGCGGGGTCACTCAGCCCCCGGCTACACTCAGGGCCAGTAATGCAGTATTGCCCCGCAGCCTGGGTGGCCAGGGGCTCCTGGCACTGTCCTTGCTGCCCCCTCAGGACCCCAGGAGGTGACTGCACACCTTGTCAGGCCAGTCACCACAGGCACACCCATGACTTTCAAGAAGGCGTCAAAGCTGACACTCCTGTTGTACACCTAATGTGATACTGGCCACAGCAAGGAAAGAGCTGCCCACGCAGGCCTTGGTGTGACACCTGTGGGAGGTCCCCAACCTGCCCACCCACAAAGAAAGGGTTCATACCACACGGGATGGCCCTGGAGGCGGGGGGGGGGGAGCTGGAGGGCACAGCTCGGGTTACTACACCTGGCTTAGCACACAGGCTAAGCGTGGCCACCTGCTCTCTCCTTACCCCAGAGCCGGGCACACCACCCAACCCCAGCCCCTAGCCATCTGAGCTGGCACCCAGGACATAGTGTGCCTGGTGTGCACCACCTGCCTAAGACCTGCTCACCAGACAGCTGCCCATCAACAAGGCTCAGCAAAGCCAGCTCAAGATGAGAGACCGCGGCTGCAAGGGGAACAGCGAGGGGAAACCGACACGTTCTGAGGCAGCTTGAATGGCTCATATCATCTGAGATGGGAACCCCCCCCCCCCCAGGGAGCAGACCCAGCTATGATGCAGGCAAGATGCCTACGGCCTCTAGGCCCATGTCAACCTGCCCCTCAACATTCCTGTCAGTAAAAAAGGGCTGGCAAGAGAGGCACCACCCACAGCAGGGCCAGAATCTCGGCGGCCACTACAAGCTGCCGCTCCATCCCCAGCACCGCACTACTGTGCATCCTCGCCCCCCACTCCATACCCACGTCTGCCTGCAGCCAGCAAGGCCAGGGCCTCCAGGGAACCCTGGAGAGGAAAGGGCTGTCCTGCTGACCACACATTCTAGGCCTCAAGACCTCTAGGGACATAAGGAAAACACCCCTGCAACTGAGGCCCAGAGGTCACCTGCAGAGTGGATGGTGCGGTGGGCGGGCGTCAACACCCATGGCCCTTACCTCAGCCGGCTTCCAGGGAACAGAGTAGAGCCTTCAAGGCCCTGGGTCGGAACAGCTCCAAGGCCTTACTCCCGCCACAGCCAGTCTGGGAGGGAGTTCAGCTCCTGTACTGTGCAAGTCTGGCCGGTTTGAACCAGCTCAGGGGCTGGCCAGAGGCAGAGCTATGGCTGGGCTGGGCATGCCACAGCTGGGGGGCAGAGCGCACCACGAGCCAGCACCTTGTGGTCATCCACAAGTTGAGGAGACTCCTGAATTCCCCTGGGACCCCCCCATCCTGGGCTCAGCTCCCTGGGCTCTCTCACTCAAGGCCCTGGGCGAACTACCCCGTCCTGGATAAGGAGCTAGAGCCGTGCAAGTCCTGAGGGGCCTGGTGGCGCCTGGTGCTCTGGGAGCCGGCAGCTGTCGGAAGTGCTCCCCTGGCTGGCCCTGGGCCAGGAGGCCATAGGATTCTGGAGCCAGGGCCCTGGCCAGGAGGGTGGGTCCTCTCCCCAGACAGCTCAGCCCACATTCCCTCTAATGCCTTTCCTCTCCCATTGTCCTGGCACACTGGGGCCTCCCAAGCAAGCTCACAGCAAGGAACTGATGGACTGGCAGCGCCAGAGTGGGGGAAATGGCAGCCCTGCCCAGCCCCCTACCAGAGGGCTGGCTACACAAGTGGGCCCTCGGCCAGGCCCCAACTGGAACAAGCAGGGGGCAAGCCCACTGCTCATTCTTAGCTCCCATAGGTGCAGAGACAGCCTAGGGAAACCAGCCTCATTCCTCATGCCTCTGGGGGCTCTGGGGGTGGCTCAGATGTGGGGGCTGAGCAGTAGGGACAAAGGAGGCCACCTGAGAACTCAGCTCAACCAAAAGTGTGCTCTGCTGCTCCTTGGGAGGTGCACCCGCTGGGGGCTGTCCCCCCTCCAAGAACCTGAGCAGCACCAACTCCCTGGAGCTCCTGGGAGGGGTAAGGTGGGAAGGGCGGGAGCTTAGTATGGGGGACAGCAGGTCCAGAGAGCCCGGGGGGCTGCTGACGAAGGCACTCCAACTTCATGCAGATGCACTCATCCAGCCAGGGGCACAGGGAAGGGCGGGGGAGGGAAAAACCATGCTCTCCCTCCCCAACGCTGTCCCAGGAGGAAATGACCCAGACCGCCAAGAGTATTCCACTAGGAGACAGAGGAAAAGGTTACAGGAGGGCCAAAGAGATGTGTGGGGGTGTGGCTGCCAAAAGAATACACAAGGAGCCCACAGTGAGGAGCCCAGCAGACCTGGGACGGGGGACGGGCATCTGGCCCGGGTCAGCCTGAGGTGGCGGGATGGGGATGCTGGGAGGGAGACAAAGGCATGTGCAGAGAGCCCGGAGACAAAACTCCTATCGCGAGACGCGGGGATCAGAGCACGGAAAAGGGGCTTCGGAGCCGGAAATGACAAGAGTCCGGAGAAGCAGCAGTCGCTTCCCAACCGGCGCTGGAGTGCCGCTCGGGAGAACGCGGACAGAAGGCCAGGAGAGGGCTCCCTACCGGTGGGCCCGGGGCCTCCGGCCGACGCGGTGCCCGGGCGGCCGCGGCGGGGGCTCAAGCCCCGGGCCGGGTCGGGGTCGGGCCGGCGGCCCTACCTGGTACACGGAGGCCTTGGGCAGGTCCAGGCAGACGGTGCAGCAGAGCACCGAGTAGAGCCGCTCCTCCAGCTTCCCGCTGCCGGCCGCCGCCGCCGCCGCCTCGGCCGCCTCGGCCGCTCGCAACCGCTTCTTGGGCGGAGCGTCGGGGTCGCCGGCCGCCTCCTGCAG